GCTGAACAAGTTGTGGTATATGATTATGATGGAATATTACTGGGATATAAGAAATGATGAGCAGACTGATTTCAGAAAATCTTGGAAAGACGTAGATGAACTGATGCACAGTTAAGTGAGCAGAACCAGGAGAACATTGTACAAGGTAACAGCAATACTATATAATGATCAACTGTGAATGACTTGGCTTTTCTCCGCAATACAATGATCCAAGACAGTTCCAAAGGACTCATGATGAAAAATGCTATCCACCTCTAGAGAAAGAACTGATGGAGTCTGAATGCAGAATGAAGCATGCTATTTTTTACTTTCTGTATTTTTTATGTTTTTTTTTTCTCTTTGGGTCTGTCTTCTTTCACAGCATGACTAATATGGTAATATGTTTTTCATGATTACACATGTATAACCTGTAGCAAATTGATTACCATCTGGGGGGGAGAGAGAGAGAAAATTTGGAATTCAATTTTTTAAAAAAGAATGTAAAAATTTGTCTTTACATGTAACTGGGGAAAAATAAAATATTATTGAAAAATAAAAAATGAAAGACCCTGTCAGCCTTCACTTCTGGGTCTTTGGTAATTGAGAGAGGCCATTGATCCAATTGATTGGTTGCTGCTAGTCTAAGTAATAAATTGATCATGCTCAGAAAAAAACATCCCTGAACCAGATTAAAATGTCATTGGGAAATATGCAACAAAATAAATACAATAGAGCATAGGTAATGTTGCAATATGGTTTTCTAAGTCAATATGACCACAGGCTGGGATCCCTAAGTGAGGCTTAGTGTTTTGGTTTTTTTTTAGGCATTTGGGGTTAAGTGACTTGCCCAGGGTCACACAGCTAGTAAGTGTCAAGTGTTTGGTCTGAGGCCGGATTTGAACTCAGGTCCTCCTGACTTCAGGGCCGGTGCACTATCCACTGCGCCACCTAGCTGCCCTGTTCCCCTATTTCTATTTGATTTTGACACCACTGCTCTAGATGTCTGAAGAAAGAGAAGATGGCCTCCATCCTGTTAGGTGGACCCTCTATGTGGACCTGTGGGAAGACATGAGTAAGAGTTTCACAGACTATCGGGAGTAGATGGATTGTGATCTACGTTATTGGAAGGTCCAATGTCTAAATCACTGAGCTCAGAAGTCCATTTGAGTCTTTGATTATTCCCCTAAAAGAAACTCGCCATTCTGTAGTGATGCCAGATATAGTGGAGGGCACAAGTCAAACATCAGCCTATTTATTTCTGCACGTGGAGATGGTGCCATCAGAGACATTGTCTTTGTGCCTGAAGGCTGCTCATTTCTCCTCTCTAAAAATTTACAATTATTATAATAATGTAAATAACTATTGCCATATTTTATTATTACACCAACATTTTTTCATGTATTCCTTCCTCCTAGAGAGCCATATCCCTTGTAAAAAAGAATTAAAAAGAGGAAAACAATTTAGCAAAAACTAACCAAAATATTGAAAAAACGTAACACTATATGCAGTATTCCGTAACCATAGTCCCCCTCTCTGCGAAGGGTGTTTGTTCTTTGCTTTGATTGTACTTATTAGTCAGAAGAGCAGGTACTATGGTGGTGGTGGAGGGTGGCTACTGAGAAGAAACACATTTGATGTTTTAAAAAAGCATCAATAAAATGTTGCAGAATAATTTCAAAAATTAAATTGTATTACAACCAATTTTATCTAACCTTTCCACTGCACTTTGAATCCAAATCAATTGCTTATTGAATGGCTAGAGAGTATTTTATGTCTGGAGTTGATGTCTGGGGGATGTTGCATATCTAAACACATTAGAGGCAGAACAGCACAGTGGATAAGTATTAGACTCAGAGTCAAGGAAACCTGGGTTCAAATCCTGCTTCAGACTGAGTATGTGACCTTGGGCAAGTCATGCAGTTTCTCCCAGACTTTTTTTCATTTGTATAATGAGGATAATAACATCAAGTGTTTAAAGTCCTTTGCAAATCTTAAGGTGTTATGTAAATGTCAGCTATTACCAGGTTAAAGTAAGGAGAAATGGGTTTTCCATTGTGGGGCAGACACAGGCAAGATCTCCTTAAAGTGTATTAAATCCCAGAAGATTTCATTAAGGACATGTTTTATCTGATTCCTTTGAACATTCATCCTTAGGTATTTTCATTAGGAAAGGCTTCGGGAAAAACGACTCAGAGGCTGAGGAATAGACTACGTGGCCGATGGATTAGATTCTCTATGAGGACGGTTAACCATCTTTTCCTTCAGTGCAGTGGGAACTTAAAGCGTTTATGTGCTTGTTTAGTTTACACTGTATGTGAGAACGCCAAAGAAAGGATGCTTAATGAAGTGTGTTTTCTTGGTTTCCAGCAATGGCAATGCACAAACCCAGGGTAATTCCTGAAAACTCCAAGATTGACACTAATGGGATTTTTTTTCTGCTCATAATCATCATGACTGACAGGCAATCTATAAAAGTGCATTCGACCACATTCAGTTTGATCAGAGAGATCGGGCCTTGATGGAATTGGGCGTAGCACACTGTGAAAAAATGGTACCCATTTCTTGATGAGACTTAAAGAGGTCAGCTGCTCTCTCGGTTAATGACTTGCATAGGGAACTGTAATGGGTGGCATGTTAGTGGATTAGCCCAGAAGGTGGGCTTACGTTGTTGGCCAACACAGGAAGGGGCATTGTTTACCCCCTAAACTGTTGTCTGGCTAAACCAATTAAGGGCTCTCCTGTAATACAGAGATAGACTATGGAGCAAGAAAGCTTCTCCCGTTATTAAATATATTTAACCCAAGGAACCAAGTGCTGGGCCTGAAGTCAGGAAGACTCATCTTCCGGAGTTCAAATCCAGCCTCAGATACTTACTAGTTGTGTGATCCTGGGCAAGTCACTTAACCCTGTTTGCCTCAGTTTCCTTATCTGTAAAATGAACTGGAGAAGGAAATGACAAACTACTCCAGTATTTTTGCCAAGAAAACCCCAAATGGAGTCATTGAATAGTCAGACTGAACAACAACAAAACTCAAGACCTTCAATAAACTGATATTTTATCAATTCATCCCTAACTCTAGAGCCTCTTACTATTTTTTTTGTCCATTCATTCCTGCATTTTGCATATATATTGTGTATTTTTCAAGGTGGCATAGAGGGTGGACTCAGAAGTAGAAAGACCTGTGTTCAAGACTTGCCTTTGATATATTGTATACATTACAGTGAGCAAGTCACTGAACCTTTTAGAGGTCACCAGGCAACTCTTTAAGACCATAAATTACAGTTGATTTGCTCATCTGCGTTGGTGAAGGGAATTTCCATGCTGGGAGTTCCTTTGCCTAATGCAATCCTACGTCTGGACAAAGAATTAAAATTGCTCTTTTGCAGTCTGAGTATATATGATTTCTAGTTCTGCTTTATGTCATGAGATTTCATATCAATCTTTCCTGATTTTTTAGTGTTCCTCATACGTGTTACTGCAGTTAGGCAACTAGGTGGCACACTGAATAAAGCGCTGGGTCTGGAGTAAGGGAGACCTGAGCTCAAATCCAACCTCAGACATTTACAAGCTGTGTGATCCTGGGCAAGTCACTTAACCTCTGTCTGCCTCAGTTTCTTCAACAGTAAAATGGAGATAATAATAGCACCTACTTCCCAAGGTGGTTGTGAGGATCATGTGAGATAATATTTATAAAGCACTTAGCACAGCCCCTAGCACATAGTAGGTGTGAGATAACTGCTGTTCCCTCTCTTCAGCCATTCCCCAACTCCCGAATATTTTGGTTGTTTCTACTTTTTCTAGTCTCTAACAGTGTTCTATTAGTATCTTGGGTGGGGGGAGACAGCTCTTTTTTTCTCTTTTTGGTAAATTTCTTAGGGTGTATTCCTAATCCAGAGTCAAAGAGAATGGTTGTTTTTATACAACTGTCCTGGCATTCATCACCATCATGAGAAGAAGGGAGGGGGGCAAGGTTTGGTTTTTGCTTTGGTTTTTTGCCACAGCAGAGAAAATTAAAGCAGTAAAACTGACATCCTCATCACTCACCGAGTCAGATATTAAGTCCAAAGTAGAGGGAGAACTAGTAATGTCTTAGCTTTTCCTTCGTCTACAGTCTGGTGGTTCAGGCACTCAACTTGTTCCGTTGTCAGGGGAAAGGTCACTCGGCCATTTTCATGTTTGATCCCTCCCTGCTCTTGATTTTTGTTCATTTCTGGATGCCCTGGGTACAGGATAGCTTCGCATGACTTTCTCTGGACAGCATTGACAGGAACCTCATTTGGCTCATGGCTAACGTTGGTCGAGAAAGAATATGTAGTTATTGAGTCACAGCAGGAGCGTTTACAATAGCTCTATTCCATGGATGTTGGCCTGGTGGGATCGTGTTTGCTATGGTAGTTAGTACAAAAACATTGGACTAGACTCCCAGAAACTGCCATCCCCTTTTTGTGCTTTTCCAAAGGAAACGTCCTCCTTCCTTGTTCCTCCTGTGGGTCCCATATAATATGGCGTGTGTGTGTGTGTGTGTGTGTGTGTGTGTGTGTGTGTGACAAACAGGTGTAGCCAAGAACAGGGAGGACGTTTCTATAGCTGGCCCGATTAAAGAATACTGGTTCATCATCACTATCAGTGTTTATTCTCTTCTATAAATATTTACTCTCAATTCAACACCAACCCCAAATTAGTGTCATTGACATTTCGTAATCATCATTGTCATCATCGTCAACATTGTTGTCAATGATATTATTATGCTCATTTATACTTTAAGAGCTTCTTCATTTCTAATTTGGAACTCTTAAGAGTAATTATTTTCTCTTTCCCTCCTTCTTCTTGTCTTTCCTTTTCTCTGGTCTCTCCTGCCAACCTCCTTCCCTTCTTTCTCCATCTGCTTCCCTCTCTCCATCTCTTTCCCTTCCTCCCTCTTCTCTTTCCCTCCTTGCATTCCCTTCCTTCCATCTCTTTCCCCCCCGCTTCTCCTCCTTTTCGTCTTGCCCATCCCCCTTCCATTCTGCCATCCCTGCAGGTTTTTGGTCTGCTCGTGTGGACGCTGATTGCTGGGACAGAGTATTTCCGGGTCCCTGCTTTTGGTTGGGTGATGTTCGTTGCAGTATTTTACTGGGTCCTCACAGTCTTCTTCTTAATCATCTACATGACAATGACCTACACCAGGATTCCCCAGGTGCCATGGACCACAGTGGTAAGAAAGCATGTTCCTTGTCTTGTTTTGTTTTCTCACATGTATCCCCCTTAATGTTAGTGCCTTCGCTCTGAAACTATCTCCAATTCATCCCATCTTCGTCTCGTTTGTGCAGAGTTGTGGCATATTGTCTCCCCCATTAGACTGTGAGCTCCTTGAGGTCAGGAACTGCCTTTTGCCATTCTGTGTATCCTCAGCACTTTGTGCAGTGCCTGGCACATGGGAGATGCTCAGTAAATGCTGGTTGACTCACTGACGGAGGAGCTGAATTCCCATCCTGAGTCTGCCTCCACAATTCTCTGACACTAAGCTAGCAAGAGAGATGGGGGGTGGTGCGAGCACACACACACACACACACACACACACGCACACACACACACACACACTCTAGAAGCTCCCATTCTGAAATGCTCCAAATGCTTCCCCACTGCCAGCTGCTGCTGCTGTTAGAATCTCTGCCTTTGCAGGAGTCCCCCTATTTGAAAGGATAAGGAGATCACTCGGTTCCACCACCAGGGCTGTATGGAGAGGCACATTGGTTTCTAAATGTCTAGACCTCACCACTATCACAGTTGTGGGTAATCAAGAGGTGGGAGTGCCACCTGTCCATGAGAACAACCTGTGGGTCGTAAGACACCAAGTACATAAATCCTGCCAGCCAACTGTGAGGGTGAAGCCAGTTCCCCAGTGTCTGCCTGCCTGGGTCCAGTGACCCAGCAGCACCTCCTAACTGCTCGTTTCTGGATAACCCTTACTGGAAAGCCCTGCCCCTGGACCACTGAATTTCCTTCATCATCTTCCATGCCACTTTTCCCCCCTGATCAGGGATCTGTGGGCCACCAAAGGGATAGATTCCAGAGGGTCTGTGAATTTAGATGGAAAACAATTATATCTTTATTTCATCATAATTGGGTTTTTTGCAATCCTATTTATTTTATTCTGTACATTGCAAAACATTATTCTGAAAGGGGATGCATAAGTTTCGCCAGATTGCCAAGAAGTCTGTAACATAAAATGATTAGAAATCCCTCTTCTAGATGGATTTACTTGGTATGGCAAGACCTCCAGCAAAGACTCTGCCCTCATTCAAACTGTAAATACTATTTAAGAGTCTTCTCTCCACAGCAAAGTCTTGGCCCCAACCCAGGCAGCCCATAATGCTGGCATCCTAAATTGGGACCTTACATACACACACACACACACACACACACACACACACACACACACACAAGTGTCTGGATAGATAGAGAGTTGCTTTTTAAAATGCTGCAGTAACTTCTCAATGGCCTCCATGCTAGAAAGCCCTCCCTCGTGACAAAGTAGTTCAATGAAACCAGTCATCACTTGGACCATGTTTGACAACATAGCACTCTTATTAGAAGACTCAGTAAATGACTGACATTGTCAGTGCTGAGGCCAGAGAAGAAGCAGACTCAGCCCAGGTGGGGCCTGCATCGTCTTGCCTGTGTGGCAGCCTGAGTCACTGGGGGCTTCCCAGAGGGAGAGAGAGAGAGAGAGAGAGAGAGAGAGAGAGAGAGAGAGAGAGCTCTGTTACCTGGTTGCTGGTAATAGAACTGGGCCAGACAACTTTTGTCTGTCTCTGAGGTCAGGAGTTCATTGCGGGTAGATCCAGGTGACTTGGGGAAGGCACCACTGATCTGGTTTCCCCAAACCGTACTGCTGTTGGGGAAGCTGTCATCCCTACTGTGTGCTAACTGGCAATAAGGAGGCCAAGAGGGGATGTGTTTGTCTTCATGTTTGTTCTTCAGGTGTCTGGGGTCCTGTGACATAGGCATGTTGGGGAGGAAAGGAAAAGGAGGAGTCAGTATTCTGATGTCCGAGTCTTCACGATGAAAAGAGCATTCAGAAACGGGGCCGGCTGCACTGCTAGTACACTGTTGATCCAAAGACTTGACCCCGTCATCATAAGGCACTTGTTGGAGAGCCCGGAGGTAGCACCAGGCACCTCCTGGAGTTGGCTATTTGATCCCCCAAGAGCTGAACTGAGAGCACACCCCATAAATGGCCTTCTGGGAACATTGGCTGTCCCAAACGTGTGGCCGTCCCAGCATACAGAACATTGTCTGAAAGGGAGGTTAAGAAATACATGCTTGGCATTGGAGCTAATTTGAAATGACTGTCTATTATTACCTTAGTACACCCACACAGGAGATAGAGGATCAAGGTCACATGCAGCAGGTTTTTGGTGTGATGGCAGCTGTACACCATTCAAAGACTGGAGGTGGTTGTTGTTGTTGGTGGTGGTGGTGGTGGTGGTGGTGTTTTAAACAAAGCTGCTTGGTACCTTGATTTTTGTTACAAAGTCATGGCTGGACTTTTAAAGGGGCCCATGGTTATATTGTATTGTCTCTTTTTGAGAAGAACCCAAGTGGACAAAGAAAGCCTGTTGTTCTAAGTTCGATATATAGTTCATTGGACAACCCATAGAGCTGGTCTATCATTGGATGGATAGATAGATAGGAAGGAAGGAAGAAAGAAAGAGAGAAAGAAAGAAAAAGAAAGAGAAAAAGAAAGAGAGAAAGAGAAGGCTGGCTGGATGGATGGATAGAAAGATAGATGGATAAATGATGGGTGGATAGACAGATAGTGGATAGACAGATGGATAGAAAGCTAGGTAGAAAGTTAGATGGATGGATGGATAGATAGAAAATTGGATGGATAGATAGATGGATAGACAGGTGGACAGAATGAAAGAAAAAATTGAATAGATAAGTAGATAGATGATGGATGGACAGAAAACTAGATGGATAGACAGGTGAATAGAAATGTGGATAGAAAGTTATATAGATAGGGGCAGTTAGGTGGCGCAGTGGATAGAGCACCTGCCCTGAAGTCAGGAGGACCTGAGTTCAAATCTGACCTCAGGCCAAACACTTGATACTTACTAGCTGTGTGACCCTGGGCAAGTCACTTAACCCCAATTACCTAAAAAAAAAGAAGTTATATAGATGGATGGATACAGAGAGAGATGATAGATAGAAAGCTGGATGGATGGACCAATGAATCTCTCAGATTGATGATAGACGCTGTAAATCGACTGTTAACAAAACTCAGAATTAAACTGTGAGAAAGGGCACTGACTAGATTGCCTTTATTGATGCCTATCTTCTGGCAAAAACAAAGTGCCATCTTTTCCCTACCAGTGATGATGTACAGCAGTAAGTTCTAGAACGCTCCAGGACTTCCAGAAGTTGAAGATCACCCAGCGTGTGCACCATAAAGGCCGCTATGATCAAGAAATGTCAAAGGAGACCTGAAGCAAAGAGGTCATCCATGAAATGTATGAATGAAAAAGGAGATGGGTTTGTCTTGTAGCAAGAACAAGTGAAGACTGATGGACAGCCCGTGTGCTCCTCTGGCATCTAGGGCGGTGTAGTGGAAAATGGGCTGGACTTGGGGTTAGAGAACTTGGATACAAACCCCAGCTGTGCTGCTCACTACCTGGGTGACCTTGGACAAGAGCCTTTATTTCTCTGGGCCTCAGTTTCCTCATCTGTTAAAATTAGGGGGTTGGACTAGGAGAACTTCTAAGATTCTTTCCATCTCTAGATCTACGATCCTCACAGGGTCAGGAGAAATCAAAGAATGCCCCCAGCCTTGAATGGAAGGCAATGGACAAGTGTCCTACAGGTGGACAGGCATGGCTAGGTTGCACTGTGCCTGCTGGAGGGAATGCTCACATGAGTGAGTTCACAGCTCCTTTAGAGTACCTTGAGTGTAATAATAATACATTTCTATAGCACTTTGAGCTTTAGAGATCTCTGCCTTCACAAGGCAGGTGGTAAAAGCAGAGCTATCCCCATTTTACAGATGAGGAAGCTGAGTCTCTGAGGGTGTCACTCTTCCATGATTATACAGGTAGTGAATGCTGGAGCTGGGATTGGAACCCAGGTCCTCTGGCTCCCAAGTCCAAAGATCTTTCCGTTTTCCCACATGTCCGTGAGGCAGTCTTGTCTATCAGTGGTGCACTAATCATGACACAAGTTAGTAGTCCCATTTTAAAGATGAAAAAAGTGAGGCCTTCAAAAATACAGTGCTCTGCCCAAGGTTACAGAGTCAGTGATGGATCTCAGATTAGATCTTGTGAATGCTGCGTAAGACCCTGAAACTGACATCCCTTGTATTGCCCTTTGCAAAGGAAACTTGGCTGTTTCTTGCCTATACCACACTTCATTGCACTCTCTCATTCAGACTCTCAGTAGCTCTGTGATAAACGAGCTACTTCCACACAGCCCCTCTCCAGCCAGTCTCGTGTAGATAAAGATGACAACCGTCCTGGCCACTGAACAAGGCTCTTCTCCGAGCACCATCCTGACCAGGAAGTGTTCCGTGCTCTGTTGGCAGACCCACCATCTTGACGAGCTGCCTTAGCTTGGCAAATCCAATGGCCTTGTGACCGTTTCCCCAATCTCATTTGTCGTCAGCAGCCCTGGCCTCTTGTGAAGCCAGGTGCTGCCTAGAATAAAACCCTACCGAGTCTGCCACCCCAGCTGCCAGCCTGAATGGCCCAGGGCTACCAACTCTGCCTTCCCACAACATACTATGGTTCTGGAGCATGTGCCAGGTATGCAGGGAGAGATCGTCTTCTGTTATAATTGCCTCGATTCTACTGTGTTAAATAAATCCATTTGAGACTTGGCTTTGCTTCCCAGACATGACATTCCAACTTGCTCTCAATGCCTTTGCTTTTCTAGGAGCAGGAATGCCCTCCCCACCCTAACTTTTACTTCTTAGAATCCCTCATTTCCTTCAAGGTCCAGCCACCCTTGAAATTACTTTATACTAATTTGCATTTATTTAGGTATGTGCTATACCTCTCCCTCCCTCCCCCCTTGACCCCCCAGAATATAATCATTTTTGTCTTTCTATCCTCAGCACCTAGGACAGTGTGCAGTAAGTACTTGAAATGAATCGAATTGGAAAAACTAGCATGAATTCTCTGGCTCTGGACTGATGTCTTCCCTAAAGCAGAAAGACTTCTCTCCCAGCAGACGAGAGTCTATAGTCTAAAGGACAAGCCTTTAACAAACATGGAGAGTCTATGGGCTGCTCACTGGGGAATCATCATTTCTTTTCCTCTTCTTTTTTTACTGTTGCTTTTAATTTTTATATTGCCTTCATTTCCATATAGATCCCCCTGTCTTCCTGAGTGAACCTTCCCCTGAAACAACTATTCGTAAAGAAATAGAAGGAGAAATAGTTGACCAAAACCAACCCTCATGTGGACTCTGTCTGCTAGTGTCTGTGCCATTCCATATCCATTGCTCCCCTTCTGGGGACTCAGCTTTTTCCTACACAGAACTGGAAACTAGCTACATATCCAAGATACCTGGTTCTCTGCCCCCGTGCCCCCGCCTTTTCTCTTTTTCGTTCACAATCCATTGCTTATCTGTGAAGTGGGCAGGTCTTTTCTAAGCTCTCCAAACCCCCAGCCCGGAAGATTGTGGGACCAACGGTGGTGGTGCTTGTTCCAAAGGAGATTGCCCTCAGCCAGTTTCCTCTCAGCTCTGAAGTTGATTGAAGCTCCTAAGGGCAGAAAACGTGATTTCAGAAACAGATGGTAACTTAACAGGAATCATTTGTCTGGTGTGATACATTAGCAGCGAGACCTCAGGAAGCTGGTGATTGCTTTGACTTTCCCCCACGATTTCATGTCCCTTATTAACATTTCCCCCACACTCCTATTATGTTAAAGGATTCTGCTTATTTTTTTCTAATCAATACTTCTTATGCCATTTGTAAATCAAATATTTTTTTCATGTATCAAGCATTTATTTTTTTCTCCTTCCCATAGGAAGGAAGGGACAGAGGGAGGAAAAAGGAAGGAAGGGAAGGAAGGAAAGGAAGGAAGGAAGGGAGGGAGGGAGGGAAGGAAGGATCCTTGTAACACATAAGCAGAGTCAAGCAAAACAAATTCCCACATTGGTTAAGTCCAAAAAGTGTGTCTCATTTGGCATATTAATCTGTGACTTCACTGTCAGGAGGTGGTTAACAGGCTTCATCCTCAGCCGTCTGGTTTGCCTTTTTCCCAAAAGACTCATTTCCCATCATACCACTCCCCTCCTTCCCCCTACCCCCCCCAAAATTGAATCATCCCTCAAAACAAAAATGTGAGCAAACAACTGTCTTGACAGTCTATGCAGCATTTTCTACCCATAATTTCTCACTTCTCTACTGAGAGGAAATAGACAGTTCCTCTTCTCTCTGGGACCAGGATTGGTCACTGCCATTATTGTGAGTTTGGCAGAATCCTAGTGCTGTGTCTGCTGTTCTCCGATTTCTCCTCTCCTGCTCAATTAGCCCATACAAGTCTTCCCATCTGGTTTTTTTGGTTTTTTTTTTGAGGAACTCTTTTATAGTTGGGTGCCCTTGATGAAATGGAAGTCTCCACTACAAATTACTGAGGGAAGCCTACAAAGGAGATGTTAGGAGCTGAGGTGGAAAGCACACTAGTCTTGGAGGCAGAAGACCTGGTTCAGGTTCTGACTCCATAGTTCTGACTGCTGCCTCTCAAGAAAGACCTAATAGATGAAATTACTAAAGGTCAAGAGAAAGGTCGACAGTGTGGTACAGGGGAAAGAACATTAAATCTATTCAGAAAAACCTGGAAAGACTTACATGAACTGATGCTGAGTGAAGTGAGCAGAACCAGTAGAACATTGTACATAGTACCAGCAACATTGTGCAATGGATGATCAACTATGATTGCCTTAGCTCTTCTCAGCAATACAATGATCTAAGACAATTCCAAAAGACTCATGATGGAAAATGCTACTCACATCTAGAGAAAGAACTACGGAGTCTGAATGCAGAGTGAAGCATCCTATTTTCCCTTTTTGTTTTTTCTTTCTCGTGGTTTTTCCCTTTTGTTCTGATTCTTCTTTCACAGAATGACTAATGTGGAAATACACTTAACATGATTGTACATGTATAACCTATATCAGATTGCTTGCTGTTTTGGGAGGGGAAAGGGAAGGGAAGAAGGGAGAAAATTTTGGCACTCAAAATTTTACAGAAATGAATATTGAAAACTATCTTTACATCTAATTGGGAAAAAAAATACTATTAAAGGGGCAGCTAGTTGGTGCTGTGGATAGAGCACTGGCCCTGAAGTCAGGAGGACCTGAGTTCAAATCCGACCTCACACACATAACACTCACTAGCTGTGTGACTCTGGGCAAGTCACTTAACCCCAACTGCCTCACCAAAAAAAAAAAAGTACTATTAAGTGCAAAAGTAAAAATAAAAAAGAACATTGACTCTAGAGCCAGAAGACCCAGGTTCCTCTTCCAGCTTTGCTCTTGCCTGTGGAGGCTGCTCACTTCCATTCTAGGGGCCTCCACTCTTCATCTATGAAAGAAAGTTGTTGGGCCAGGTCCTGCCCTCTGGGAGCTTACATTCTATTGGCACTTATTAAATGTCCCTCATGTTCACCTGAAGGCCACATGCTCAGGTGCACACAAACACTGAGCCTCTTCTCTCCTTTGTCTTGGCACAGGGCCTCTGCTTTAATGGAAGTGCCTTTGTTTTATACCTTATTGCCGCCATCGTAGACGCCTCCTCGGTCACCAAAGAGAGGGACACCCACAACTATAACAGCTGGGCCGCCTCATCCGTAAGTAAGCTTTCTCCATCTCTGACACTCGGCACGATGGGTATTCACAGAGCCTCTGTCCCTGCCCCACCCCGCTCCTTGAAGTCTTGCTTGTGAAGATGGAAGTCAGTCAGTCAAAAAAACATTTATTAAGTACCTACTATGGTGCTTGGACAGACTTCAGGAGATAGTGAAGGATAAAAGGGCCTGGTGTGATATGGTCCATGGGGTCCCAAAAAGTCAGGCCCAACTAAATGAATGAACAATGTGTCAGACACTGGGCTAAACCCTTGGGATACAAAAAGAGGCAAATGACGGGCCCTGTCCTCAAGGAGCTTACAATCTAACGGAGGAGACAACGTGCAAACACATATGTACAAACACGTTAAAAACAGGATAAAGTGGAAATAAGAGAAGGAAGATGCTAGAATTTAGAGGGCTTGGGAAAGGCTTCCTCTCAAAGATGAGATTTTAGCTGGGACTTGAAAGAAGCCAGTGAGCAGAGATGATGAGGAACACACTTCTCTATGTTTAAGCCATGGCTGTGGTCATTGCCAGCAGACTTCTGTGAAAGAGGGAAGGGCTGGAAATCCGCAGCCATGTGCGGGAGCCACATTTTCCAAAATCAGCCAACAGATTAGGCATAAAGAACACAGACTGTCTTTAAAGAGGACTTCCTGGAGTATATGAGAAGCCTGAGTTGTGAGGCTAGAAATGGAGACTTTCTTCTCATCGCACTTTCTGTCTCATGTGAAGGAAGAGCTCTCCAGGAAATCTGTGATCCCCATTAGAGCCACATTGTGCAGACCTCGGTTTGATGACGTATGGTTTTGTAAGCAGCTGTAGTGCAGTGGAAAGAACACTGTGGGCTTTGGAGACAGGAGATCTGGATTCAAATCCTGGTTCAACCCCTTACTGTGTGACCTTGGACAATCAATCAATCAACATTTATTAAGTGCCTATGAGTTATTTAACCCTGTTTCCTCACCTGGAAAATGGGGCTAAAAAAACCCATGGTACTTGATCTTGCTTTTGCAAAGGCTTTATAAACCTCATGACAACCCTATGATGCAGGTGCTATTATTATCCCTATTTTACGGATGAGGAAACTAAGATAACATGTTGGAACTATTTGTAAATTGTCAAGCACTACAGAATGACACATGCATTTTTGGATGTGGCCAATTTGAAAATTTGTTTTCCTTGACTATGCATATTTGTTATGAGGATTTTCTCTTTCTTTTTTCTTTCAAGGGCAAGGGGAGATAGGAGGGAGATTTCTTTTTAATTGAAAAAACAAGTGCTTGTTAATAAAAAAAAACAATTTGAAGAACTATAAAGCATTATATGAATTTTAGCATTATTCATTATTACTGTCCCTACATTCAATTCAATGAGCATTTATTAAGTGACCACTGTGTACAAGGAGAGGGATAGTAAGGTAGGTTGGATAGAGAGCTGGTCTCAGAGTCAGGAAGACCTCTGACCTCCTGACTGCAGGATCTGGAGCCAGTCCTGTTACCTCTCAGCACCCCCAGGCAGCGCTAAGGCTATAAGCTACAGAGAAGGTATTAAGCTACAGTAATAAAGTGAATTTCCTTCCCTGCAGTTCCCTGTACAGAAGAACTCATAGATCCCGATCCTCCCTTCTGTCATCCCCAAAATGCCCAAGGCACAGTCCTGGGATTATAAAGATTAAATAAATGAAAACGTCAAGATGCAATGTAAGACAGTGGGGAAAACACAGGATTTAGAGTTGGAGGACTCAAGTTCAAATCCTGACTAAGGCACTTATTACCTATATAACTGGAGAAATTACTTAACTTCTCTGGGCCTCAGTTTCCTCATTTGTAAAATAAGAGTTAGACTAGATTCAGTTCTATGATCCCTTAAGAATATAAGTACTATTTACATTCTACACCTACTGTATACCTTCCTTGTTGTTATCTGTCCTTCCTTCTTGAAAAGGACCATGGCAACAGGACGGTGAGGTCATGATTTGCAGGTGAATTGGATTACAGTGAGGGAGGGCTGTGCAAAGTTATCAGCCTCACTTTCTCCTCCGTAGCCATCTGGGTCCAGTGGCCAGATATAGCTCAGGATGACTGGAGATGGCCCCCACCTTCTATGACCATTTGATGCATAACTACACATGGTCTCAGCTTCCAAAAGCAAAATTGGAGCAGCTAAAAACAAAGAGTGAAATAAGAGACCTGAATCAGTAAAGTCATTTCTGGCTAAATCATTGTGCTGATGTATGAGTCAAGGGAGGACAGATCCTTAAATTCATTAATTAGGATGTTTTATAATGCTCTGTTCTAACCTGTTTCCTTCTCCACAGTTCTTTGCTTTTGTGGTCACAATCTGCTATGCTGGAAACACGTATTTCAGCTTTCTGTCATGGAGATCCCGGACTGTACAGTGATGGCCATTTCGACAATGATATCAATGGAAAGAACATTGCTGTAAAAGCCGCCGTGGGTAGGATGTACATTTCCAGAGAACTGTGTTTTTAGCGTGTTTTTGTACACTTAGTTCCATTGTGGTAGCTATGGTCAGTTGCAAGTGAAATGGATACTTGTTTACAAAACACTGTAAATCCTTAGGACAAAACACTTTCAATACATTGTTAACAAACTTGTAGAGTCTATTTTTCCTAGACAATAAGTAACAGAGTTGCTAATGTTAAGAAGGCATCCACTTTGTAAATCTAACCTTTAAAATGCCAGACTTTTTTTTTTTTTGGATTAAATGTTTGAAAATCACCCATTAACTTCAGTGTCTGACTTTTTGGGGGGCACTAGAGAAAAATGAGGCCTTTCACCACAACCAAAGTGCATGGCTCCATGGGACACAGAGCATATACAAGATTATTTAGGAGAAACCTTCTACTTGGATCATGAGAGTAAGGCCAGGGGATTAACTCATTACTTGCACACTTTGGGGTACTGTGCCCTACAGCAGAGGTGTGAGACTGCTGGCCGAACCAGATTAAAAGGTTAATTGAGAAATACTTCATAAAATACACAAAAATACAATAGAATATAGATAATGTTAATATGTGGTTTTCTAAGTCACCATGTACTCCACAGGGATCCTTATGTACCATTTAAGTTTGATATCACTGCCCTACATGTTCTGAAGTCATGTTCTGAAAGTCTTTCAAAGTGAATTCAGTGAATGGAACTCAATTTAAAATGTTGTAACCAAGCCATGAGGCAGTAAGATAGAGGGTCCCCAGAAATGTCTTTTCGAACCTGTAGGCTTTTGGACCATTCCTGAACCAGGGCCATAACTACAGTTGGAGGACCCAGGCTTGGCCCTAGGGTGGGATATTTATCCTCTTCTCCCTCCTCCCCAGCCATACCACAGATGAGCCCCATATTGCCAGGCTCTGCCCCCAGTAGTAGAAACAGCCTGTCCCAAGGCATACATCCTCTCCTTGTCATCAATGCCTCCCCTATCCCAGCCTGCCCTCCCTCCTTATCAGGAGTCAGGCCTTCAGTGCTATAGGAACCTGAATGTGTCCCAGGATAGGGGTCCTTCTCCCCAACAAAAAGCCAGATGAGCTCTCTCTCCCACTCCCTTGATCTCATCACAAAATTGACTAATTATGACTGTTACAGACATAGAATTGACCCCCCCCCCAAACACCCTTATTCTTTGCCTTTGGTGGTATCAGTCACTGAATGTTTCACAGCAAACACACAGAGGGGAAGGTTGTTAGCTCAACCTGGGCTTTTAAAAACCATAACCCCAATAATCAGGTTTATGGCACCCCAGAAAACACACACACACGGAAGATCCAAGGTCATCCACTTGGTTGCCACCAGGGTCTCCTTCTCCAATCAGCAACACCAGTAAAAGGCCCAGGAAATCTGCTCCACGTCTGTAGGCTGGCCCCCAGCAGTCAGGGCTCATGGTATTTTATACCGAAAATTGCAATGGGAGCGAGAGGCCTTTACAAAATCTGCTAATTTGGGACAAATAGACCCCGGGTACCTTTGAATGCACCAAACCTGAATAAATTAGATAAGGATGAATTTGGTAAAAATTCCTTTGGTGTTTAGGGCTGTATCAATGGCCCCATCGTTCACTGTATCTCTGTCTGGGTCTTCCTGCCTCCACCTGGACTTAATAATGGCTAGTTTATGTAGCACTTTAAAGTTTACAAAGCACTGTACATGTTATCTAAAGCTCACAACCACCCTGTGAGGTAGGTGCTCATATTATCTTGATTTTACAGTTGAGGAAATTGAGGCTGAAAGGTCAAGTAACTCCCAGAATCATACAGCTAGCAAGAAACCAAGGCAGGATTTGAACTCAGGTCTAACACTCTACCTATCTTGCTACCTAGCTTCCTTTGCTTTACCAAATTGCATCAGAAGATTAGCCAATAGATCCAGGAAAGAATAGAAAAAAAGGTTCATGCAGTGATGTTTCCCCACAAGTCAAAACATCACCCTCGTGATGTCACTAGTTCTCTTTGAGAATGAAGGATGAACAACAAGCCTAGAACCCGTTTCCCTAGCTTGCTTTCCCTCCTGTGTCAGGACCCTGCTCCCAATTGGCTTGGTAGGGCTGGCTGAGTTACATTCCTCTCCTGTTGTCCTATATAAATGATAAAGAGCCATTAAGCTTTGATGGACTTCTTTTCTCCCAATCTATAAATAAAGTGGGCAGGTTGGGGAGTGAAAGATTTTCATTATCCAAAGGAAACCTAGATTCTCATAGTCAGGTTAGCAAGATCTAATTAGTCTCGACAACATATTTTTCAAAGCCCACTTTAAAACCCGACTGGGGGGCAGCTAGATGATACAGTGGATGGAGCACTAGCCCTGGAGTCAGGAGGATCCGAATTCAAATCCGACCTCAGACACATAACACTTACTAACTGTGTGACCCTGGGCAAGTCACTTAACCCCATTGCCTAGCCAAAAAAAAAAAAACAAAACAAAACAAAAAAGGAAACCACACCCACAACTGGATGGTTCTGGAGGTTGAAAAGAAATAGAGTCTCTGCCTTAGAGCTTTCCATCTGAAATGAGGATTCAATCAATCCATCATCCAGCACTTTTTAAGCACCTACTGTGTACCACTGGGGATATAGTGGGGATTTTTAAAAAAAAGGCACCTTAGAGCAAGGGAAACCCACAGTAAGGAAAACTTGATCTATGTTAGGTAGTGGGTGATTGGAGCTGGTTGGTCATAGTCTGATTTGGAAGGGCCTACTGAGTTGATCCAAGCCATTGCTGACCAAGAAGCCCTTCCACCACAACCCCAGTGGATTCGGCCTTGGAGTTCAGACTTGGGTTCAAGTCCTGACCCGGCCCCTTCCCTACCTGTGACCTTGGGTTAGTCCTTCTAAACTCAGGTTCTTCATCCATAAAATGAACATCATAATCCGGGTACTACCTAATGATATAATTCACATGAACCCAATGCTCTAACATTTGCAAAGCACCTTACAAAAGTTATCTCACTGATCCTCACAGCAACCCTATCATCCCCATTTTACAGATGAGGACACAGGCCCTGAAGGGGCTAATAAGTATCTGAGAGGATTTGAACTCAGGGCTTCCTGAATCATGACCAGTGTTCTAACCTCTACCCATTGTGAAGATCAAATAAAGGTAGTCTTTTTTTTTTTTAAAGAATTTTTTGTATCAGTAGAGAGGTAGACAAAAATAGGAGAAAGCAGGGATTTGCATCCCCTTCATAGAAGAGCACACAGGTTGGGCCACGTAGACCAGGAGGGGCCCAGGCCCACCCCAGTGTCTTTAAGAACCAACCAATAAGCCTCAGACCAAACACATGACACTTACTAGCTGTGTGACCCTGGACAAATCACTTAACCCCAATTACCTAAAAAAAAGAAAAAGAAAAAGAACCAACCAATAAACAAAAATAAATAGAAGCTTTGCCTTTTAATTTAATTCATCTAAAGGTATGGTTTATTGTATTATGTTTAAGGTTAGTTATTTTTATTTAATTATGAATACAAATAATATCCTTCATGATTCAGTAGTCAATAAACGATTGAGTGAAAAAATAAAATAAAATTCCTTGGGTATTCCTCCTAATGAAACATGCTGGGCATACCTGTGGCCCCCTTGTTTGGGAAGGCTTCTGCTTGCAGACCCTTCTTGCTTTGGGTGAAGAAGCCAGCCCTTCCCTCCCCTGGCCCCTCTACACCCACACCCACACACATTCACATACACAAACTGAGGCTGTCTTTTCAAGTGTAACAACCACCAAACCAGAGTGAATGAGTAGCCAAAAGGGGTCAGAACTTTGTCTCCAGGACCCAGGCTGCTCAACCTTCTGTGAAGGGTCTCCACGCTTGATGTCCGAGGCCAAGGAGTCGGGGAACAGAGGCGATCTATTTCCAGGAACTCGTATAAAGCTAGTCACTGACCTTGTCAAGCCACTGCCTCTTTGGGCCTCAGTTCCCTGACCCTGAAAAAAATGAGAGAATTAGCTGAGATCGGAGGTTTTAACCTGGGGTCCTGGTTAGATAGGAGTCAGTGAATTGGAATTGGGGGAAAAATCAGGTCTTTATTTTCACCAACCTCCAACTGAAACAACACTTTTTTTACAAACTCTCTGAGAAGGGGTCCGGAGGCTTCCCAAGTCCAACAAGGAAGGAGTCTAAAACACTGAAAAAGCTAACAGTACCTGGCCCAGACAATCTCCAAGGTCCCTTACCACTCTAAAGTTCACATCAATTCAACACTTATTAAGCACCTACTATGTGCCAGGCACTAATGACAAAAAAAGTAGGAGGGGAATAAGCATTTATATAGTTCCTACTATGTGCCAGGCACTGTGCTAGGTGCTTTTTACAAATATTATCTCATTTGCTCCTTATAACTACCCAACAAGGTAGGTGTTTCATTATCCCCATTTTACAGTTGTGGAAACCAAGGCAAACAGAGGTTAAGTGACTTGCCCAGGGTCATACTGCTAGTAAGTGTCTGAGGCTGGATTTGAACTCGAGTCTTCCTGACCTCTTGTCCATCTCTCTATCCACTGCACCACCCGGCTGCCTCCACGAAGCACTCTTTACTCTTGACTTTACATTCTACTGTGTGGGGGGGGCAGTGGGGACACACAAGTAAATACAAAGTACATTAAAAGAATATCGTTTTTAGAAGAAGAAAGCATTAACAATGGGCTTCATCAGATGCAAAGGTTTCACGTAGCAGATGGCAGCTAAGCTATGTGGAGAAGAAAGGGGGAGATTTTCGTAGGTGGAGACAAGGAGAGGAAGCATATTGGGACGTTCGAGGGCAGAGACTTGCTGGAGATGGGATGTCCTATATGGCAGATACCTAGCAAGTCAGTGTGACCTGAATAGTACAGAGGAGTACAAACAGCCTGTGAAGGTAGGTGGGAGCCAGATCATGGAGGGCCTTAAATGCCCTATGATTCTATGATACTGTTATTAATAAAGTCAAGAAAAGGAAGGCAACAAGCCCCACCCCCACCCCGTGACACTGACTTGGGGGGAAGTGCTTTCATGTGGTCAGCTTGTCCTCAGGGCAAATGTGTCTTGGGGGTGTGCCCCTTACCCCTTGAGATGTTTATTTTTCCCATTTCTTTAAGAATACAGGAAAATCATTCTGTCTGATGGAACAACAAAATTTAAACCAGGTTCTGAGCGAAGTTGATCCTTTCTGCTAATTAATGTGTTTCTACAAGACCCTGCCCATGTTCCATTTATTCCCTCTGTGAGACAAACTGTACCCAGCGGCCACATGCA